TTGAGCAGAGGAACCAGGAACCATGGAATAACCTCACAAACACTTTCACCGACAGGGACTGTCAAGCAAGTAGTTCATGAAATAAACCCTGCCCACAGAATCCTTGTTCCGCATCACAGTGTCCTGCAGTCTGCATTCAGCATTTATTTTTTAGGAGAGAAAATATCAGACTTTTCTTTGAGATGCAATTAGAAAACCACAGGGCCTGGTCTTGCCCTGACAGCCTGGCCTGGCACCAGAGGCCGTGGGGAGGTGTCCTGGCAGCACTGTGCTTTGGGTGGCTGGGGAGGACAGGATGGAGGGAATGGACAGGTGCTGAGGGGCAGAGCTGACCACCTTGGGAAGTGGTGCTGGGAGAGGACAGCTCTCCACTTCATAGAATCATAGAATTAGAATCATAGAATTGTCCAGGGTGGAAGGGACCTCCAAAGGTCATCTAGTCCGACCTCGGGACACCCCCAACTAGACCAGGTTGCCCAGGGCCTTGTCAAGCCTCTCCTTGAATATCTCCAGGGAAGGGGCCTCAACCACCTCCCTGGGCAACCTGTTCCAGTGCTCCACCACCCTCACAGTAAAGAACTTTCTCCTAATCTCCAATCTAAATCTATTCCCCTCCAGCTTGAAGCCATTGCCCCTCGTCCTGTCACTGCAGGCCTTTGTAAACAGGCTCTCCCCAGCCTTCCTGTAGGCCCCTTCAGGTACTGGAAGGCTGCTATTAGGTCTCCCCAGAGCCTCCTCTTCTCCAGGCTGAACAACCCCAGCTTCCTCAGCCTGTCCTCGTAGCAGAGGTGCTCCAACCCCCTGATCATTTTCGTGCCCCACCTCTGGACCCGCTCCATCAGGTCCATGTCCTTCCTATATTGAGGGCTCCAGCCCTGCACACAATACTCCAGGTGAGGTCTCACCAGAGCAGAGCAAAGTGGCAGAATCACCTTTCTGGACCTGCTGGCAACGCATCTTTTGATGCAGCCCAGGATGTGATTGGCCTCTGGGCTGCAAGTGCCCACTGCCTGCTCGTGTCCAGCTTCTCGTCCACCAGCACCCCCAAGTCCCTCAGGGCTGCTTTCTAACACCTCATCCCCCAGTCTGTACTGATGGTGAGGATTGTTCCGGCCCAGGTGCAGAACCTTGCACTTGATCTTGTTGAACCTCATGAGGTTCACCTGGGCCCACCTCTCCAGCCTGTCCAGGTCCTTCTGGACGATGTTCCATCCCTCTGGTGTATCCACACCACCACACAGCTTGGTGTCGTCTAGCTGCTACAACCGGCATCACGCCTGTGATCTGTGCTCAGCTGAGTCACTACACAACAGATGTAGTTTTTGAGTCAGTCTGAACTCTCACCTCCATCTAAATGCCTCTGGGGCTCTCCAGTTCTCCAACTGGGTAGCAAACTGTGAAAGTTAGCATTAGATAGGCATAAAAATGCCAAGTGTCAAAACGGGTAGTTCTTGTTAGGCCTTGGACTCCAAAGCATTTGTTTTATCACAAAAAGAGAGGCAAACATGTGAGATTAATCACTGATTGTGCAAAACTGACAGCCAGCTTCCTTGCTGTATGGATACAGTTGTACGCCAAGTAACTCTGTGTGAAGGAACAGAAGAATTGCAAAGTGCTTTCACTGCAGTACAGTAGACTGCAGACTGTAGAGTAACACAGTAAATATGTGGACTCTATGTGTCCAGCGGGCACAAGTTAAAAATGCCTTAGTATGAACCCCAAGCTGATAGCAGAAGTGGACTTCAACTCCTCGCAGTGGATGGTGGTATCACATAAAGACCTGGTATTTGTGTTAGTGATCAAGGGGAGTGTCAATACTCAAATTTTACAAACATTATATACTCATCAGCCACACTGGAGAACAGAGATGTGCATTCACATGTGGCTATTTCAGATAATGGAATTCAGTATATGCCAAGTGAATACTTAGTCTTCCTGTGTACCAAACACTGCGTATTCATTCTTTTTCCTCTTTCAATTACCTCTGTTGCTAAGTACTAATATTTGCACTGGATCTTCTGTGCTGAAATGAGAAAGAGGCTGAATCACATTCAAGGTTAAGGTAGTTATAGGAAAGCTAAATTGTATCCAAAGGGAAATTCAGCTAGGAAACCAACACATCTGCTCCAACGAGTACAAAAACAATTTAAAGCAAATGCTGTACAGGAATGTTCTCACTGGAGCAGATGATATGGCTAACAGAAGCAAAAAGCAATATATGACTGAGTTCTCCACAGGGAACTTCGAGAGTCTGGAAAAAACATTGCATTTTCCCTCGTTTCATTAACAGGGATGGGAAGTGTTGAAAGTCTAGTGCGTATGTATGTCATAGGAAGGGGAGGGCTGTTGGGTAGCACTTCAAGATCTGTTTCAGATTCCTGGAGTGATTCAGCAAATCATTTAAGACATTCAGAAATTGTTACCGCTCAAAGATGTCATTTAGTCCACCTGTCCACCCACATTCCTTCTGAGTCAGTCTTTTCTCTTTAAAACATAGCGAAGGATACATATCACAATTGTTATGATCCTGTTGATGGCAGTAAAAATTTTTAGAAGGGAGACATCAAGGAAGTGTAGTACAATTGTTACTATTGCTGTCTGAAAATTATGCTGTCGGTAGTCCTGGGAATGGAACAATTCAGTCAAAATAAGTCCAGTGAAATGCTGCAAGTCTAATCATTTACAACAATGTCTTAAAATTGCATCAGGGAGCAAGATATTGTAGCAACTTACAGGGGACCATCCTGAAAGGAAAAGTCCCTCAGCTCACCACACAGAATATACCAACACACTAACAGACCTGTGCAGCCACTGCTGTTCATTCTCCAGAGATAATGTAATCCAGAAGCAAAGCCTTAGATCTTTGGTTTCCCAGTCCTTTTCTTCGTTTGCCCAAATACTTTTTTTTTTTTTTTTAAAAAAAAAAAAAGGCAATATATTATTGATGGTAAAAGAAACCGGTTTTCTCAGAGGACCCGAAGAGATTCTGATGTAATCACATCTTCTGAGGCATGCCCAGCTTCACCGATAAATTAATCACTTCTTGGGCTGCATCTGCTCGGTTGAGAGTGAGAGAACTTTTCAAATGCACTTTCAAACTCTGCCGACATAAGCATTGTGAGAATAATAGTGGCTAAGCAGAGTGCTGGGTGTATTCAACTAACTGGTTGGGATGCCCAATACAGAGTAAAATAGCCATGTTCCTGTTTGAAGCTTTTCCAGGGGATTTCTTGAGGAGGGTATGAGGCAAGTTGGATAGAGCATCCTCTTGTGTTAGAAATTTTCCTCTTTCACCAGAAATAAAGAAAAAAGCTTTCTTGTCTACATTTCTTCAAGGAGATCTGTTCATTCTGAAGACTCATTTATGGTATAACTACACAGAAAACAGTTGTGTTTGTACATTCGGGGTAATGTTAGTTAAATAGGGCCTAATTTTGAAGCCAGTTGATTATAACTATTTGACAGAGGATATTCATCAATTACCTGGAACAGGGGACAGAGTGTTTCCTCAGCAAGTTTGCTGATGATACCAAACTGGGGGAGCTGGCTGACACTCCAGAGGTCTGTGCTGCCATACAGCCTGACCTGGACAGGCTGGAGAGCTGGGCAGAGCTTCAACAATGGCAAGTGTAGGGTCCTGCACCTGGGGAGGAAGAATGCCAGGCACCGGGGAGGACCTGCTGAAAAGCAGCTCTGAGGAGAAGGATCTGGGAGTCCTGGTGGATAGAAAACTCTCCATGAGCCAGCAATGGGCCCTTGTGGCCAAGAGGCCAATGGGATCCTGGGCTGCACAGGGAAGAGTGTGGCCAGGAGGTGGAGGGAGGTCATTCTCCCCCTCTGCTCTGCACTGGGGAGGCCACAACTGGAATCCTGCCTCCAGTGCTGGGCTCCCCAGTTCAAGAGAGACAGGGAACTACTGGAGAGAGTCCAGCGTAGGGCAACAGAGATGATGGAGGGATTGGAGCATCTCCCTGATGAGGAAAGGCTGAGAGAGCTGGAACTCTTTAGCCTGGAGCAAAGAAGACTGAGGGGAGACCTTCTTCATGCTTCCAAGGATCTAAAGGGTGGGTTGAGGGAGGATGGAGCCGGACTCTTTTCAGGGGTTCCCAGTGACAGGACGAGGGGCAACGGGCACAAGCTGGACCATGGGAAGTTCCACTCGAATCCGAGGAAGAACTTCTTTGGGGTGAGGGTGACAGAGCCCTGGTAGAGGCTGCCCAGGGAGGGTGTGGAGTCCCCTTCTCTGGAGATCTTCAAGCCCCGCCTGGATGCTCCTGAGTGATGTGGTCTGGGCAACCCTGCCTTGGCAGGGGAGTTGGACTGGATGGGCTCTAGAGGTCCCTTCCAACTCCAACAATTCCATGATTCCGTGAGTCAAGCAGATTGTAAAATGAACATAGCTTAGACCTCAGGCATCTATCCATTCATAAGGTTGTGCTTTTCATTGCAAGCTCTTTGGGAGAAAGTAGATTTTAAAAGGTAGTGTCCTCTTTTGTCTTTGCAAGTCTTTTATTTTCTTCACCTCAAATCACATGTACAGCATCGTTGCTTTTTTTGCTTTCATGAGCAGTAAGGTACTGAAGGAGCTAAGGGTGATCAGATTCTTTTACGTGGTCCCATTGATGCCAAAGGCTGAATTCCCAATGGATGAGTCAGAGAGCAATGTATCCACTTTGCATAGGGCAGAATGATATTTCCAGTTGAGTCAATAAGAAGTATTGCTGTGGTGCTCCTCACCTTGCAACCTTCCAAGAGTTAAGCAAAGCGGCACTGCTTGGACGAAATGAAGCTGTCTAAACAGATACCATTTGTTTTTTTCCAGGTTACTTGCACCTTGGACAAAGGGGAGAAGGCCACCATTTGACACATTTCTTTTTGTTTTCTTTTTTTTTTTCCAGATAGAGAAGAGTAAAAATATATTAAAAAGACACTGCACTTTTCTTTCAAAGGGGAAAAGGGCAGCATTTGACTGTTTTCTTTTTCTTTCTCTTTTTTTTCAGATACGGAAGAGTAAAAATATATTAAAAAGAGACTGCAAATTTCTTTCGTCATTTTAGCTGAGCTTCTTCATTCCTGTTCTGCTTCTGCAATGACCAGTTTCTGGGGAAGGCATTAAAAAACTTTCAAACACTCCTCCTCCCACTGAGTACTTCACAGCTAATGATTCTGGGTTCTAGGGTGGGGCCTTGGTTTTTGGGTCTGTTTTATTTTTGTTTGGTTTTTTTGTTTCTGTATATCTGCATTATTTGTTGGTTTGGGAAGTCGGGGTTTTTTCGTTAAGAAAAAAAAGTGATGATTTCCTCATGCAAATAGCACCGTTTTTCTGGACAGGTCAAGCAAATAGATGAGACTCATCTTCAAAAACTGGTGTTGCCCTTTTGCTATGCCTCAGCTTGTGAAAACAGCATTAGGGTGATGCAAAAGAGTACAACAACAAAAAAGAAAACTTCACTTTTCCTCTTTTATTTTCCCCGAGAGCCTTTCCCAATTGTTGGTAGACAGAATTTGACATCAGTTTTATCCTTGATGTAGAAGATTTTGTTAATAAGAATGGTGAATTTGTAGAGTCATTTGACCGTTTGTTAGGATTCGATGTCTTTCCCAGACGGTAGTAAAATGTTTTTGTTTCTAAACAACAGGTAGACTCACTCAATCCTTGATTTTGTTCTGGTTTCACAGTTAGTAATAGTAAAGGAATAATCAATGAAAGCAATATTCCCTTAGGACAGATTTTATTGTAAGACTTTGAGAGCACACACTAATGTGCTGCTTGACAAGCCTGCCTTACCTTGAGATTACAGGTAATGAGCCCTTTCCCACATTTGTTCATGGGCTACTGGTAAGTGCTCTTTGTTTGACCTGAAGACACAAGAGAAGAAGGGCAGCACAAAATCACATGGATCAATTCTTACTTTCATCTCAGTGTGGTCTTCCTTTCATCACTCACTGAATGGACAGACCAAAAATAAGGAAAAGTGTTGCTGAATATCTATGGACAGACAAAGACAAAATGAGAAAGTGCATCCTAAATACACTGCTGGTGTTGGTGGATAAAACTGTCCTATCCAGTGGAAAGTAGCCATCATTTTTTCCCATTTAAAAGAAGAAATGTTTAAAAACTAACTCGCTCAGGCCTTCATTCAGGAAAGTATCTATATTAGAGCTTGAGTCTCTGTTCCTGCTTAAACTGTGCATGTACAGGGCCGAGCTTCCCATGGCACAAGCAAAAATCACAGCAGTGATCTCAGCCTAGACCCACATTTAAACATGAGTACCTTGTCACTCAGGAGTGTTTGTACCTGGGATTTTGATTATTGAGGCTTGAAACGTTTTGAGGTCTTTTTCTGGACACCAGAGTTTGAGTTTGTTCAAAGCCAAAGACTTAGATTAGGCTCATGCTGTGAAAAGGTTGCAATTCAATCACGTTTTCACAAGGAAGAAGTACAAAAATAACTCTTGCAATTCCGATAACTTATATTTGGCTTCACTGAACCAGCTCATTTAAATAAAATATATATAAGAGCACGTAGTGTTCCCATTTGTGAGCTCCTCGTTCAATGGGAGCTGTGGGGTAGGTTTTCTGAGGAAAGCGGGGTGCTGGGAGGACAGTGGCCCCACAGAGCTGAGCACACCCCCTATAGTGGGATAGGCAGAGGGCTGTGTCACCACGTAGCACTTTCCCACCTTCCCTTTCCCGTTCTCCATCAGCATTCAGCCCTGATAAGAGCATGACTTCCAGCCCTGACCAGGCTCTTTGAAGGCACATCAATGAAATATAAATAATGCAGAACTAAATGCCACAAGAGTGACTCCGTCCCTGCGTAGTCATCCTTCTCCCTGAAGGCAGGGGGGACATACCCTCACTGACTGTTTGGTCAGAGCTGCAGGATGATTTAGTCAATATTTTTTAAGTTATCCTTACGTAATACACAGTAACTAAAGATGCCTTAGATTAAGCACAGTAGAACAATAATAATTTAAAAAAAAACACTAAATCTTTTTCTTCATCTACTTCTGATATGTATTTTCTTTCTGGGAGTGACATCTTTGAGAGAGCGAAGGCAGACTGCTTAATTCACAGCTCACCAGGTCTTGTTTCTCATGCACTGGCACAAAGGTGTGAAATCAGACTGGAAAATGTTTTTCCTCGATTGTTAGGGTTATTCACCACCAGCAGGAGCTAATAGGGGAAGTGGTGGATTTGCCATCTCTTGGGGACTGCAGATGAGAGCTGCCATTCTAGAAGAGATGACATAGTCAAAGTTACTGGTCTCAGCACACAGATATGCACCAAAATGTTTTCCAATAATCAGTCAAGTCAATTAGCTCTAACATTCTCCTGCTCTTTTGAAATAATAAGCTAGAGTGGATCATTAGCATTTTTTAGAAATTTTTGTTGTCATGTAAAAAGAAATCCCCATGAAATCTTACAGCTTGGAAATACGAATATTGGAAATATATGAAGTGAAAGTGAAATCTAGAAATTGGAATCCTACAAAGAGACTAGGCCAGGTGAAAGCATCTACTGTGGGGTCCCCTCCCAGCATCACACCTACCATTCCCTTGTTCCACCCCCACCACCTCCCTGGGACACTCTGCAGCATTGTGCTAGTGCATTGTGAGCCAAGGAACAGTATGTTTAGACACCTCCCAGTCAAACTAGAGATCAGCCACTGTGCAATTGTGTAAAAAAATAATAAATAAAAAATAATACATAAAAATAATAAATAAAAAATAATAAAAACTTAAAAAAAATTACATAACTGTTTTCTCTTATTTTATTCAATGAAAGGAAACAAGCAAACAAAAAGCAGAAAAGGATTAGATGTTCATCAGCTAATGGCCTACCATTTTAAAAAGTGAGAAAGGATTTCTGCTGTTATATCCTTAGCTAAGTTTCCCAGCTGTATGGAAATCACGTTTTCAAATGCCTTCCTTTTCCCATCAGTAAGACTATACAAGCAATGAATAACGCAGAAATTCTGCAAATATAGGGCCCATGCCATTGGCCTCGTGGTGAAATTCTACAGAATCATTTGGGAGCTCCAACCAGTAGCCACCATCCATTGCCAGAGCGCTCCTTAGGGAGGGTGGCACAGGCTGGGAAGCTGTGTGATGAAGAAGGCACTCTTCCTTTTCTGCACAGGGGCTGCTGGTGCTCTCGGAAAGCTCTGCCTTCTGTTTCCCAGAAGCTGTTGTGTAACTTGGGAGGGAGAATCCCTCCTCAGACTTCACCCCCTTCCAACAGGGAGGCATACTATTGCAAGTATCACTACCAATGGTTTTTTCCTTTATCTGCGACTGGTGTTCAGGGAATTAACAGACCTTTGACTAGTGGTGACGTAGTGCTTGAGCTTCTGGGCACACTAGAATTTAAAAAAAAATTTTAAAAAAAGCAAGCGATTTATTTTTTTTTTCTGTCCATTATTTAAATGGCTCAAAAGATGACAGTTCTCTGGGCTGCGCTCAGTCAGTGATTTGAACCGTGTGTTTCTGTGACAATATGCAAGAAGTGTTCACATATATGAAAGAAGGGATTGGTTTTGTAAATTAATTTTTTAAAATATAAAAACCTGTGATGCACCCTCTCAAAATGCTTAAATCAACCAGCTTTCCTTACAAATTACACATTTTTTTTTTAAAGTTATATGGTCAGATTTCTATGTTTAATTATAAAAAGATGATGGTTGTCAATAATGTTTTCCGTGTTTGGAAAAAGATGCCAGAAGCCAACCTTTTTTTTTTTTCTCTATTTTCTGTTCTTTTCTGATGATAAACTAGATTAAAAAAGAAATGTTGCAATTTTAGTTTGCAAACATATTTCAGAGTAGGCATTCTAATCTGGGTAGACTGATGCTTATCTAAAGGTGCAGCCTTTTCTATAGCTCCAGCTGTTGTAAACACAAAAGGTATTAATATAATAGGATATTTAGCATCAGAATAAATCTGTAATTTGGGAGATCTGCTTCCTGATGGGTGAATGAGAGGTGCACATTCTTTTTTTCTCTCTGTTTCTTTTTTCAAGCATAAATTTTAGGGTTGGAGAGAAACTTTCCAAAATGTAGTTGGTTAAGCCGGTGAAGAATGGTATATATCATGATGTTTTTGCAAACTGCCCTTTGAATATGCAACTGTTTGCATAAGTACTTACAACATCTTACAAGATCAGTCCAGAAGAAAATATACTTCCAACTTGGTAGCTGATAGTGCTGTTCTGCTTTGAAACCAGAAGATCCTTGAGTTCACCTAGCTAAAAAAAGGAAACACTTCCGCTGTTAGTCCGTGCCAATTCTGCAGTGGGCCCCAAACATGGCTTTTCATTAAAAAGCCCAATAATGTATCCAAATTAGAAATGATGAAACCTGACAAGGACAGTACTTTTTTTCCCTTCAACTAGAATAGACTAGTCTATCTCCAGGAACATACGAGGTGGTCTTAAATATTTCTCATTGGCTCCTTTTTCCTCACGTTTTGTTTTATAATAACGAAAGTCATCATCCTCTGGTGATCTATACCATATGTTAGCCATTTATACTCAGCAAATGACAACATAATCAAGTCTCTTTCTCTTACGCACTCTTTTTAATCCATCACCTCACCCAATAATTAAAAGCAACAGAGAGATCCTGTGCTCTCGCAGTTGTTGCCCTGGTGTTGATGTCAGAGCTGTGCTGGTGCCATCTCTGAACAGCAGCCCAAAGTGGGAACACGCCGGCTGAGGAGGAGCCCCGCGGCACTGACTCGGTGTGAATTGCTCCGAGGAATGGGTATCCGTGCTGGCCAGGTAGAAAAGAGGGGAAAAAAACCACGCTTTCATAAATTCATACATTCAGCTGCCTCCAAAGCGGTTCTTTCCCCCTTGTGTTACCCACAACATGAGCAGGTCTTCTCTGGTCTCAGTTCAGTGCCAGGTGTGCATAGAGTCATAGAGTCATAGAATTGCCCAGGCCGGAAGGGACCTCCAAAGGCCATCTAGTCCGACCCCCCCGCAGTCAGCAGGGACACCCCCAACTAGACCACGTTGCCCAGGGCCTCCTCGAGCCTCTCCTTGAATATCTCCAGGGATGGGGCCTCAACCACCTCCCTGGGCAACCTGTTCCAGTGCTCCACCACCCTCACAGTAAAGAACTTTCTCCTAATCTCCAATCTAAATCTGTTCCCCTCCAGCTTAAAGCCATTGTCCCTCGTCCTGTCACTGCAGGCCTTTCTAAACAGGCTCTCCCCAGCCTTCCTGTAGCCCCTTCAGGTACTGGAAGGCAGTTAGCAGGTCTCCCCAGAGCCTCCTCTTCTCCAGGCTGAACAACCCCAGCTCCCTCAGCCTGTCCTCGTAGCAGAGGTGCTCCATCCCCCTGATCATCCTTGTGGCCCTCCTCTGGACCCGCTCCATCAGGTCCATGTCCTTCCTATATTGAGGGCTCCAGCCCTGCACACAATACTCCAGGTGAGGTCTCACCAGTGCAGCCCAATGTAGTGTTCCCCCTGCTTTCACAGGCAGACAAAGTTTTGCAATCCCATACCACACTTTCTGTGTCTGACTACTGGGATCAAAACAGGAGCAGGGCAGGTGGCCCCTGCCAATGCCATTATCTTCTGTAGAAATTAAAAGCTGGCCACACATTCCCGTTGGCTGAGGCTGCATTCCCATTGCTGCAACATCCCTTCTGATCCCCAGTGATCACAGAGTACCTGTGTGTGCCCAAGCACGACCAGGACACGTCTGCCTTGGAGGCATATGCTCTCCCTGATCTGGTGACTTGACCACCAGTGAGAAGAAATTGGAGCTGCTTCCAGGCAAGCTGCCTGAGGACCTGAAGCTCAGTTTTGGCAAATTTATTTACCCTCGTACGTAAGTGCAGGACAGCACTCATTCACGAGCCTCGCAGCACACTGTTGGCATTTTGTACTCTTCTTCCAAATGCATGTATATCAACTGCTGTGTACTCATAATCCCCCGGTTTTAGAAGCTATCCAGTGGTAGGAGGAATATGCATAATCCCATAGTCTCCACCGGTGGTTGAAGAGGTGCATCTATAAAAAAAAAATTACTTACGGCCATTGGGGTTTTCTAGTGATAAAACCTAGCAGTAGAATGACAGAGTGAACATTTTCCTTTTCTTCTTGATTGGATGATATTTTTATACACTTTTATATGCAATTTTTTAAAATATTTGCTATTTTTATTGTAGGGTTCTGGTTGTGTTTTTACCAGATCTTCTGGTTGTCTAGAGGCCCAGATTCTCACAGGAATATTTCCCTTACCTTTTCTGCTCCCCTTTCTTCCCAGATAGACAAAAGCTATTGTATTTGCAACATCAGCTTGGAGCAAAATAACACCTAGGGCCTGATCACACTTTTAGTTGCACTGAAATCAAAGAAGGTTGCATGCGAAGTCCTAGTGGTCTCACCGCAGCGTCTGGGACCAAAGATGAAATAACCAAAAACTGCAATTACACGCAGGGGGGGCTTTGTGAAGCCAATGCACCAGGGCAGTGCAGTCTTCCTTCGCAGTGGTAGGAGCTGCTTCTACCACAATGTGTTTAAATATGACTGTATCTCTCACTTCTTTCTGACGATGCTACTTCTCGTAGGCATTTAAGTCGAAGTCATACCTTAGCACCCTGACAGCAGGGAGGAAGGGTGGACGCTGTGGCTTATCTGTGACAGTAGATTTCACTGCTCTTGTGCTTAACCCTAGAGTGACAGGTCCTGAATAGAGTTAAGAAACGTTAAACTCATTGGTTGGAAGGATAAAGGGAAATGAACCAAACTCAAGGATCCTGGTCTTGTAAAACAATCTTTTCTCAGCTGGCATTCTGCAGGGATTTCTATTTATGAAGTTAAACATAAACTCTAGAGTGTGTTTATATTAGCAGAACTGATAGTGGAGATGTCTTTCTTGAACTGAACTAAAATAAACAACGGACACCTCTTCTCTTACATTTTTGAAGGAAGAAAGAGGCAGGCTGTTTTGCTATTTTGCATCAGGGGACAGAAAATAAGTTATAATCCATATTGAAAGCAAAACTCAGTGCAAGCTTATTCCGGGGACTGGGTGGGTACGGTAATGAAAAAATCCTATTTGGTTTGTTAAGACCATAAGGGGAAAAAATGCAAAACAAAAATAAGTGATGCCATGTAATGCCAAGTATTCTCGACTGTTCTGAGAATGATTTTCAACAACACGTATTTACTGTTAGTTCCTTATTTGAAAGAAGAGGCTTGTGGTCTCTAAATGTATAAAACATTTTCAATATTCCAGTTTTTCTGTAACTGAGTCCATGTATGTTCATCCTATTACCAAATAAAAACGATGAGGTCTCCGCTCCATTTGAATTAAAGTTGTAGAAAGATTCATTTGTTCTGGTGCTTCCTACATCCTGCCCAGGCATGGCACTTGCCATTTGCTTTCCAGCATCTAGCTCCCTTAGAGTACTAGCAATAATCAAATTTTATTTTCAATTGTTGTGGGAATGTTGCTTGGACAGCAGTCATTGCACACCGCTGGCCCTGGGGGGAGGAGTTAGTGGCATTACCTAATTTCTGAAGACAGGGAAATTGAGGTAGAGAATTCAAATAGTTTATTTAATGACCCTGGGGTAAATCTCTGCCTGTTTGGGGATTAGACATTTCAACCTCACTTTTCCCTTTCCTCTTTAGACTGAAATCACAGCCCATAGCAGCATCTAAACCAACAACAGCACACCACACTCGTGCCCACTGAAACACTTGATCGTGTCTTTTTTTTCATGTACCTCTTGGAACA